GATTTATGGATTTGTGATTTGACTAAATCAAAATCACGCAACCCTGCTAGACATCAACCACATGATGGTTTGGAATCATCTAAAAAGAACACGCTTCTCAATGAAGCTCCATGGTTGGGGCCACATAAATGAATACAAAGAAATTTGATTGACCGAATTAGAATCAGTTAAACGCTGCTTAAACCCAACGAAATCTAATCATGTATTGAATCCGAGAGTAAGCATAGCAAGCGACCATGGTAAAGCACCGATGACCTACCTCAAATGACTTCAAAGCCTAGATTGAAAGGCGTTGTATAAGGTGATCAAGAAAAATCGTCCAGAATTGGCCACAGGAAAGGAGTTTTGTTCCATCTTGACAATGCTAGAGCACACACATCTTTGATGAATCGGAACAAATTTGACGAAAAAATGGCAAAAGGTCATAGATAATAATGGCCAATATGTGCTTGATTAAAATTGACTTGCAATCAAGTTTTTTTTTTTCAAATACCTACCCACAAATCCGCGAAGAATGTTCACCATTCTATTCTGCCCCATGAGCTATTATGCCGCCACCAGAACTATGCTAGCATCAGAACATCGACCCATAAGCACTTCGGTCTATAAATCTGCCTACTTTGTTTCCCCGAATCACCACACCCATAAAAACTTCAACAAAGGAGATTCGAAAACTGGTAAACTAACGAAAGAAAAAGTGTGGGAATAGCACTTAGCAACGATATTTACCAACTGGACAAAAGGGGTCAAACTGCAGCTGGGAATTCCCGTCGAGGACATACCAATTCCGACAGTGAACCACCGGAAAGGTCATAGTCTTACTGCCTCTTCTTTTTCTCCATGCACATCCGCTATTGCCAATCAAGTATAGAACCTCAGCATTGTCCTCAAATCGCTCATCAGAGCACTTGGACTAAGACAAAGATACATTGGCAGTCCGGACCGAAATCCAGCTGCCCTGGTTTGGTCACCGGGGACTACAGTGAACGAAGCCTGCCAGAACACCGCGTAACAGACTGCAACAGTATGTCTTCTGACGTCGCCAGAATATTATCTACATAGCGATGGTGAGTTGCTTCCACTGACGGGGTTAACATACGTGCGACGATCATTGGACCCGCGCTGTACAGACAAGCAATTAACCTCATTCACAGAGGGGCTATCGTCAGCTTCACCAACTCTCGCTCCGTAAATGCCGTCATCGGAGTTTAACCACCACCCAATGCAATAGAGTAACTTCAGTTACCTATATAGACCTACACTAATGTTGCGCAAATACGATCTTCGATTCCTTTGGAAAAACACGTTTAATAGCCGCTAAAACAACAATAACCTTTACCAAGGATATTTTCTCTTTCTCGAAAAAAGATTCCCAGCTACATGTAAATTTCCTTGAAGAAAACTCCGATTTCTGTTAAGGTTTTTAAAACGAATTAAACTGAACTGAGGCAAAATATTTTGGTGGGAGTGAAAAAACTGGCAAACATTTTTTTTTAAATGCGTTCAGGTTAACATATGTGTGCACTTACATATCACTCATCCTCCACAAAAGCGGGCACACCTCCGAGCTAAAACAAGTCTTACTACTCTTAAGTGGCTTATGTACCTAGTCCTTGTCTAATCCATTTTTAATCCTCACTAAAGTAAGTACCAAGGATTCCCAATGTATGTAGTAAAGGTTAGACACTCAACAGTAGTAAGTTTTTTTTTGAATTTGGAGTTGTGCCTCTTTTGTGGAGGGTGTGCGATATAAATGTTAATAATTATTAATATTTGTGTTGTACTTTACAGGCATCCAGAACCCCATCGCGCGATGCACAAGGCGTAGCCTTACTTTTCCGATACTATAATTTGTTGTATTATGTGGAGCGGAGATTCTTTCCGCCAGATCGAAACTTGGGCGTTTACTTCGAGTGGTACGATTCACTAACTGGTGAGTAACTCGAAGTAAAAAAGTAATAAAAAAATAAAAAAAAATATAAGTCTTACTGTGGGTTTCACGAAAGCAATTTAAGAGAATAATGATTTTTTTCTGTCAGTCTCCATATTAAATCCAAATAAAAAATAATTTTTCATTTAAAGTGCTTCGTGAAACAGGCTATTAAAGTCGTACAATTTTTAATTGTAGAATAGCTTTTAAAGGGTTTTTAGGGAATTTGTAACTGCACCAAAATATTTTTGAACGGATGGAAAATATATAATTAGATCTTATTATGAACTGTGAAATCCCTAAAACCATTTTAACAAGTTATTTTACATAGAAAACTTTTACGACTTTAAGACATTGCGACGCTTCAGACGTTTTGTGAAAAAATAAATTTTAGTTGCCACTCTTTTGTGGAAAAGTAACTAAAAAATTTGAAACACTTAATTCACCAATATTTTAGAAAAAAGTTGTGTGTAGATCCCACGCGCGATTGAAGTAAAACTTGTTCTACTATCACTTGTATAGATCACCATCTCTATTTTAATCTCAATATTAATTTTAATCTAAGATTCAATTTTAACTTAAATTATAGCCTTAATCTTTGTCTTAATTGTAATCCTAATTCTAATCTTAATCTTAATTTTAATATTAGTTTTAGTCCTAATATTAAGCTTAGTCTTAACCTTAACTATAATCTTAATCTTAATCGTAATCATAATCTTAATCTTAGTCTTAATCATAATGATAAACTTAATCAGAATCTTAGTCTTAACAGTCTTAACCTTAATCTAAGTCTTAATCTTCATCCTAGTGTTGATCCTAATATTAATCTTGTTCTTAATCTAAATCTTAATCTTAATATTAATTTTAATCACAATCGTAATCCTTTTGTTATTATTAATTTAAACCTTAATCTAAGTCTCGGCCAAACACTAACATATGTGTAAGCGCCAATCTATTATTATTATTATTAAGTCTTAATCTAAATCTTAATTATAAACTTAGTGCTATTATTTATCTTAATCTTATTCTTAATTTAAATCTTAATCTTAATCATAATCTTAATCTTAAATCCTAATCTTCATCTTAGTCTTATTTAAAGTCTTAATTTTATGCTTAGTCATAGCCTTAATTTAAATATTTTGCTTAATTTGAATCTTAATTGGGCCTAATCGACGTCGCAATCGCCCCCCTCCCCTCCCTCTTCTGACGCTTGTTTGTCGCATTGGGGCTTGGAATTAGAGCCCAAAGTGCGTGTGTTTCTGTAAACGTATATTACTTTAAAAACAATTAACTATTAATTTGATATTCCTTAATATATAAATTTGTTTGCCATTGCACACACAGGCGTACCCTCCTGTCAGCGTACGATTGCTTTCGAGAAAGCCTGCACCCTCTTCAATTTGGGCGCCATCTACACACAAATCGGTGCACGCCACGATCGCACCACCGAAAAGGGTTTGGATGCAGCAGTGGATAGTTTTCTGCGTGCCGCCGGCATATTTCGACACATCTACGACACATTCACCAACGCCCCCTCCATGGATCTGAAGCCGCAAGTGCTAGATGTACTGGTCTCGCTAATGTTGTCACAAGCGCGTGAATGTCTCTTCGAGAAGTTGCAGCTGCA